TCGAGGCTCTGGGGTTGATCTCCAGAACCACCAAAACTTTTGTATGTAATATAATAGATGATGTATTCTTTAAATGCCAGGCGTGGTGGCACATATCTGTAATTGTAGCTACTCAGGAGGCTGACACAGAAGAATCACAAGTTTAAGGCCAGCCTCAGCAACTTAGTGAGACCCGTTTCAGGAAAATAAAGAAAAAAAAATGAATTGAATGAAATAACAGTATCCCTAAAAAGGTTAATGTTGCTTTTAAAAAATGAACTTCTGTTCCCTTCATTGACGGGATCTTTAAGAGGTGAGGCCTAGAGGAGGATGGTTAGGTCACTGGGATGCTGCCCTCAGAAGGAATCAGTACAGTCTTTGAGAGATCCTAGCTAACTCCCATGAGATCAAGCCATGAAAAGGAGCAAGCCTGGCCTTTGGATTTCCCTTGCTTTTTATCTTGGCCCATGACTTCTCCCTCATACACAAACTTTCTTTATGATTTCATACGGTTTTCCATAACTTCTGATTGATCTTTGACTAACAGTAGATGTTCATTTAAGTCTCAAATTTCTCTTTCCTTTTGCCAAGTTTTTGTGCTACTATTCTCTAAAACATAAGGTTCTTAGGTAAGCGCCTATCTTAATCATAACAAATTTTACTATACCATTTGCGTACCTGAAAGTCTTCCTCTAATGTGTGCAATATGAATGGGCACCTTCACGGTTTTTTTTTGCTTTTTGCATTGCTGAGGCTTGAGCCCAGGACCACTCAGATGAGAGGCAAGTGCTCGACCACGGAGCCACACCCCCAGTCCCCAGATCTCTTTTAAATATGAGTCCAGATGGTGATGGTTTGAAAGTAGAGCATAACTTGATTTCATAGTGTGTGTGTGTGTGTGTGTGTGTGTGTAAGTGTGAGCAGTGTGCACACAAGGCTCGTGTGATGGTGTCCTGTGGCAATGTGGAAGGAGGGATGCTTTCAGCTCCAGATCTTGACAACTGGAGCTTCTGGCCACCTCTCCTGCCTGCCATCCTCAGCCCTGCCCCGTCCTGCCGCCCACTAGCACCTGGCCAGACAGTTGGGCTCCCCTAGCCGGGCTGATTGGACCTTGGCATTGTGGTGGTCATTGGGATGAGAGTGATCTGCCCCCAGGGGAGAGGAGTGTCTGCAGTTATGGAGACACAGCTCTGCTGGGAACACCAGTGGGTGAAGCAGCAACCCCCAGAATGTGAGAGGCACACAGAATTCTCGTCCCACTCAGCTCATGAAAGTCATTAATTTATTCCCCATCCCAGCAAATCCACCTTTTTAAACATAAACTCTTAGCTCAGAATATCCTGTGAAGCCGGTTAGCTCCTGCAGTGTTAACCCCCAAACGGATCTGTCAGCCTGCTGGACACATGAAGAGTGGTCCTGGGCTGATTCTTCCCTGCGTCACAACCCCCAAGGAAGTGCTTGGAACGACTACCTCCCTATTCCGTGAATTCCACAAGCAGGATGGTTGCTATCATGTGGATCCTGCAGCCATCCATGATAACTGGACGCCTAAGGCCTCAGCAGAATTCCATTCTAGAAGGCAAACATATTTTCCATTCTGAATATTTTCCAGTCTGATGCAAATTAAGAGAATAATCAGTCATATTTAATCCTGGAAGTCTGAGATAGGAAAATCACCTATCACATTTGCCCGCCCGCCCCTTTCCTAAACACCCCACTAAGGCTGGACTGTACCACAGTGCAGAGCCTGGTCTCCTCCCAGCTCACCTGCACGCACCATCGAGGCCGGCGTGGCCTGTGGCAGCCTGTGAGCAAGCATTTGTGCCCTAAGCCTGTTCTCTGCTCTGGCACCATGAGAGCCCTCACTGCTGTGCCCAGTTCATTAGGCAAATGCGAATTGAGCACCTGCTGTGTGCCAGCACAGCATCGGGCCCTGGGTGCTGGGTAAACAAGATGAACACAGCCTTACCCCTCCAGAGGTTGGAAGGGATGGGTAGCAGCCTCGCCTGCTCTCAGGGGAGAGGAAATAGAGGTGGTCGGGAAAGTCTGGGGGCGGTGCAGCAGGTCATCTGCCCACTGCCAGGCCTCTGACCTGCCTTGCTAGGAGTGAGGAGGGCCATATCCTCAGAGTGAGCCATGTGCTACACACCCACACATCCTAGACCTGTCCTCTTCCTACGGACCAGGGATACCCAGCCTTGGCACGATTGATGTTTGGGGCCACACAACAGTCACGGGAACTACCCGCTGTGTTTCAAGATATTTAGGAGCATTCTGGCCCACTGGATGTCAGAGGTACCCCTGGATGTGATAACTCAAAATTTCTTCAGACCTGTCCCCTGGGGGCAAGATCACCCCTGTGCATGGCCTTGTCCCCAGCCTAGCCAGCCCCCCTTACTGCAGTTCCCAAAGTGTGTTCCTGGGAATACTGCTGACTCCAAAAGGATCCTGTGGAGACAGAGTTGGTGCTACATTTCCCCGTAAGCCACCAGCACGGTAATGCTCCAACCAGACCTGTGTCTATCAGGCTGAAGGTTTTCTTCCCCATTTATTCTCCTAACGGTCTCCCTCCAGGGCCTAGCACAATGCACAGTACATTAAGGCAATGTTCCTGGGGGCGACTGGGGATGAGGGGAGATAGGCCATGGGGCTGGAGCACTGGGGGCTCAGTGTTCCAGGCCCCTGCCAACACTGATGCTGGTAGGAAGGATGGAGGCAGATGTCCTAAATACCATCCATGATGAGGGCAGGCCGGCTCAGGTGAGCCTCGGGCCCAGTGAGGAGGGCCTGGGTACGGAGCAGCAGCTGACTCGGGTCATGTTAGGATGTCCCTCTCTCCCAAGCAGCTGGGGCCTCTGTGGCCACCATGACCAGGCGCTATGAGCAGCTGCTCCCGATGACAGTCTTGTACCATGAGACCATGAGCAGCCGCTCAGTGCCCAGAACTTAAAATCACTGAGTTGTCTATGCCATAACCATGTACATGTGGCAAAAACTGCAGACATCGTCTGGTGCAGCCTGGCCCGCCTTCCTGTAGGGCCCAGCTCCCGCACACCACAGGGTGGGGCTTTGACCATGGGGGCTTCCAGCCCAGAGAGCGAACGAACCCGGGACACTCTGACCTGCAGATGCCACATGGAGCAACTTGTCAGCGCAGGCAGTCGGGCAGCCATAGCCACTTTATCCAGGCAACCAGGCTGTTGGTGTCTGCTGAGCCAGAGTCTGGGTACCAGAGGAAGGACTCATTCCTGCTACAGTGGGACACGCCAAAGCTTAAGGTCATCGTTTTCGTCAGCTTTTTCACTGCTGTGACTTAAGACTGGACCAGACCGACTGTAGAGGAGTAAAGGTGTATTTAGGGGCTGGCAGTTTCAGAGGTCTCCATCCATAGACCGCAGGCTCTATTCCTCAGGGCTCAAGTGAGGCAGGACATCATGGCAGAAGAGTGTGGAGGAGGGAAACAGCTCACGTGACAATCAGGAAGCAGACAGCGGTCTCCCATTGTCAGATACAGATATGTATACCCCATGGCCACGTCCCCAGTGAACCACTTCCTGCAGCCACACCCCACCTGCCTCCAGTTTCCCCTCAGTGAACCCCATCAGGGACTGCTTCCCTAACTATGTCACGGTTATAACCCAGTCGTCTCTTTCCCAAACCTTCTGGCATCGTCTCACGTGAGCTTTTGGGGGACACCACCTCTAAACCATGATAGTTACATATCTCCCTAGAGACGTGCATGCTTAAAAAGGCTTCAGCACCACTAGCTCTCCCCACTAGCAGCCTTCGGCCTGCGTGGTGAGGAAGGTAGGAAGAGCAAGTCTCCCATCTGTCCACCTCGGGGTCCAGTGAGCCCCGTGGTCGAAGCAGACTCTCCAGTGGCCATGGTGACCCAGTCAGTGATGGGGCTTCAGACTTCTGCATGTAAAAGCTCCTCTGTGTGGAGTCTGTGTTTCTCTCTGTTTCTCCCCAGAGCTCCTGTGTCAATAGCAGGAATGTTCAGAGGTGAAGGGACCAGATCACGAGAGCCATGACCTCACCAGTTCATCCCAGTTTGAGTGGACGGACTGGTGGTGACTGTGGGCAGGTGGGGCGAGGCTGGAGGAGGGGGTCCCGGGGGGCGGGTGCCCTGGAAGGGTGCATCTTCCCGTGGCCCTTCCCCTTCCTCTCCTTGCCTGGCCAGCATGAGGGCAGCAGCCCTTCTGCACAGTGGTCTCCCTCACCTTCAGCCCAAGCAATGCAGGCAGCTGACCATGGGCTGAACCTCTGAAATCATGAGGTACAATGAAATTCCCTCCTTTAAGTCGCTCTGGTCAGATATCTTGGTCACAGCGATGAAGCCCTCACACCCTCACACACACGTGCACACTCACATCCCCACACACCCCTCAGCACTCCCTCCTGGGTGCTCTATCAGCCATTTTATGCTGCCTGGGGTTTCCAAATGGAGCAGTGTTGCAAAGACACAGACCTTCGCTCGTCCCCAGGGGATGAGGGAGTTATGTCAAGAAGCCCAACTTGGAATAAGTAACCCCTCGGGTAGGCTGCACAGCCCTGCAATTTTCTTTCAAAAAGTTGTGTGACTTTAGCAAGACCTGACACAGGGACTCTTTGAGGGCTCTTCTTAGAAGAGCCAGGCCCCACCGTGACCCCTGCTTCATGTGAAGCCCCACCAGAAATGTTTTCAGAAAGCAAATAATGCTATCGGCTGGTTCCTCTGAGTCAGCCCATGACGTCTCCCGGCTGGGCCAGGGCCTTGCAGTGGGGAGGGGACTTGTGTGTCAGAATGGCCACCAGGCAGCGTCTTCCCCAGGGAATGGTCCCCAACTCGCCCCAGAGCTGCATGGTCCGTCTGGGACACTTTCTTCCAAGTTTTAAGAAAAGAAGCACAAGGAGCCTCCAATCTCAGCTTTTGTTTCCTTCCTCTAACCAGCTTCACAAGATGATCTGTAAAGTTCCAAGTAGGATCGTACTTCTCTAGGAGCGTTAACCCGCTTGGCTTCAAACTTGTGTCTCTCCAGAAAGAGAAGAAGAGTGGGCTGCTGAAACTTCTAGCGGGGGCATCCACCAAGAAGAAACCGCGCTCCCCGCCATCCGTCTCTCCAACCCACGACCCTCAGATGGCTTTGGACACCTCACTCCAGGGCGCCACGGGCCCCGAAGTCTCCTCGCTGTCCATCCATGGCAGGGCAGGCTCCTGCCCCATAGAGAGCGAGATGCAGGGAGCCATGGGGCTGGAGCCACTGCACAGGAAAGCCGGCTCCTTGGATCTGAACTTCTCCTTGTCCCCTTCCCGGCAAGCGTCTCTTTCCATGGCTGCCATCCGTCCCGAGCCCAAGCCATTGCCTAGAGAGAGGTAAGGGGGAGTGTGGGCTGGCAGCATGTGTGGCCATGCTTCGGGGTGGAACCCCAAGGTCTGGAGGCTCATTTGGGGAGCAGGGACATTTGGGGCTTCCCTGAGGAGTGAGATGACCATATGTGCAATGAGGATAGCAAGAAGATGTTTTCCTCGCTCAGATCCTACACGTTGGGATGTTGCTCAAGTAATAAAACTGTGAACCATCTCCTAGGAAAGCAATCTTGGCATTTCTGCTAAAGTACTGCTGCTCAGTCATGCTAGCTCCACAGCCCAAAAAGGCAGCCACCATCCTAGCACCTGTGGACCTCTGCGACTGCCACTTCCAGCCAGGGGCTAGATAAGCTTCCTTCTAGACCAAGGAAGGCATATACATTTTCTCTCAAGGGCCGCATAGTAAAAAAACTGTAGACGTGGTGGACCTTACAGTGTCTGTGGCAACCCGTCACTCTACCTGTTCAGTAGGAAGGCTGCCACCGGCCAGATGTGCACAAATAGTCTGGTGTTTCAGAAAGCTCTGTGTAAGGACACTGAAATTTAAGTGTCCTACAACTTTCTCATGTTTTGAAATCTGCTTTGGATTTCCTTTTCCACCATATCAAAATGAGCGACGTTCTTGGCTCTCAGTGCTGTAGGCCGTAAGCCACGTCACAGACGTCTAGATGGTGCCTTTGAGCCGTGCCTCTGGGAGCACCAACGGGGCCGCAGCAAGGGTCAGTGTCTCCACGAGGCCGAGGAGGGGAAGCATGGCGCCACGTCACGACCTACTATTAGAGCAGCCGTCAGTAGCAGGCTGAGGTCAACTGAACATTCTGCGCAGATGTGATGCTCAGAACATCCCAGAGTCAGGCGGGTCGCTGGCTGGGGACACCAGGGTGGTCAGGCGTTGCAGGATATGTGTATCCGCCAGCATTTCCCAGTGCCTTCTGTGTGCTGCAATCTTCCTTACCAATCCCGTGAATCCAGCCTCCCCGTTTTATAGAAGAGAGAATTGAGGTTTCTTGAAAGGCTGGATCACTTGCTCAAGGTCACTCCGACGGGTTAGTGGCTTAACCAAAGCTTCAGCTTAGGGCTTTCTGACCGCAGAGTCCAGCCTCTGAACAGCCTTACTCTGTGGGGTGCAGAGACAGCAGCCCCCTTCAGACGATGCTCACTGCTCCTACAAAGGGACCGTGACATCCTTAGCTTGAGAATAGTGTGGAGCGAGTCACAGGCCTGACGAGTCCTCCAGAATCCAGGAGCACTGCCCTGTCCACCCAAGGAGCAGCTGTGTTCCCTCTTCATACAACAGTGCTGTGCAGGGAACTGTCTTCCCCAGGGTGTCCCGGGACCGTCAAGTGATAGAGGTCACACTGCCCGCCACACCATGAAAACACGTAACATAATGATACACACTCCCCATGTGAACACACCACACACACCTCGCACACACACCACACCATACACTCATGCATACCAAACACATAACTTACAAATACACAGGCACACCAAACACAGGCTCACAAAACACGTACACACACTCTGCTCACACACATACACTCACACAAAATGCACACGAACTCGGGAACACATACACAAATACATCCCCACACACGCACCTTGCCCTCTCCCACTTCCCTTCCCAGGGCAGCCTCCTCCAGCTTGGGGCAGCTCCTCCTTGTCAGAGTCTCCCTCCCTCCATGGCCAACACCAACGGCCTTGTGAATTCTGAACATGGGTCCCAGGGTCTCATCGCAGCTTACAGAGCGGGTCTTTGGGCTTGTCAGAAAGACAGGCTTCTACATCCTTCATAGCTGTTCTTGTCTCTCCCCTGGGTACCTGCTCCCTACACCTCTAAGTCTATCTTCAAAGAAGTGACTTCCAGACTCCTCCATAAGAGATCTTGAAAGACTCTGTTCTAAAAAATCATGGGAGTCTCTGATTAACTAGCAGATTCAGACAGTCACTGCCTGATTCTGAGAATATTTGGTCTAATCAGGGGGTTATTATACCTAAAGACTCTGGGCACGCTCCTTGACCCCCAGCACTCTGCAGAGCTCATTAAAGAGCAGTGTTTGCAGAATAACAGCCTGACACCAAACTGCAGATGGGCCCCAGGAATGTCCCCTCAACCTCAACCTGGGCAGCCACAGGCCACCTGGTGTCCACGGAGCCTGGACAGGCTGTGACTACGGACATGCTGGCTCTTCAGGCTGAGACAGCTCCAGTCCAGACAGCATTTGGAATCTGGCCCCGCAGGCTTGTGCAGAAAACTCACTTGGCAGGGGTGGGGGTTATGGCCCGGCAGTAGAGCGCTCGCCTTACACATGCAAGGCCCTGGGCTCAATCCTCAGCACCATGTATAAATAAATAAAATAAAGTTAAAAACATTTTAAAAATAGACCTCATTTTGCAGCATGTTTTGGAAGAGGGAGCCGGTGGGATGCAGCTGCAAGAGTCTCTGCCCACCAGGGTCCTGCTGCCTGGCTCCCACCACAGATACTCATGGCAGGACGGAGGCGTGCCAGGTGGAATACGGCAGGAGGGCGTGGGGGGGCAGTCAGAGTCCAGGTGTCCATCCTGCAGTGCTGAGGCAGTGGCTGAGCTCCACGCACAGCAGTGTCCTTCTGGCATCTTTTGTGAAACTCCTGTGTGCAGGTTCCCCCACCCCCACCCCAAGTCTCGACCATTGCTCTCCTGAGGATCTGGGAAGACGGTGGGGGCTTCCCAGTGCTCCGAGAGGAGGGAAGTTGAGGTCAAAAGTGCTGCAAAGGGCAGTGGCACATGCTGGTCATCCCAGAGGCTTGGGAGGCTGAGGCAGGAGGATCCTGGGTTCAAAGCCAGCCTCAACAACTTAGCAAGGCCCTAAGCAACTCAGTGAGGGCCTATCTCTAAATCAAAGGGGGGCAGGTGCTGGAACACAGTGGTTGAGTGCCCCTGGGTTCAATCCCCCAGTACCAAAAAAAAAAAAAAAAAAGAAGTATTGCAAAGGGAGCCCCGAGGGAGGCCACTCAGGAGAGTCTACCTGGGCCAGCTCGGGTAAACCTGCCACATCAGCCGGCCGACGACGCCTACAGACCAGGCCTGTCTGAGCCACACCCCCAGACTACTGTGTAAATCAAAGGACTGGTTACCGATCCATCCCAAGGGGATCATCTTCAGGCCACCTAAACATATTTTTTTCCTGTGGACCAGGTGCTCAAGAAGCCACATTTGAAAGTTATTTGGGGAACAGATTATGGGGGTGTGGTTGTAGGATGTGAATCTCACTGGGTACCAGGTTGAAACTCTCCTCCTCTCTATTTCCTGTTGGGATGCTTTCAGTTTATGATGGGTTTACTGAGGAGTGACACCATGATAAGCTGAGGAGCCTCTGTGATGCACCACAGTTCAGTGTCCAGGGTATAGGTGCATTTTTTTGGTCATTTCTAAGCAGGACATTGTTCCATGACCACCTGGTGCCACCGCTCAGAGGCCCACTTGTCCTCACCCACGTTGAAGCCAATGCTCTGAAGAGGCCACCCTAGGGAGGGCCACCCTGTGACCCCTGTTGTCAGGTCGGGAAGCAGATGACACTCGATAAAGTCGGGACACCCCAAACTCACACATGGCGCTAATTGCACTAGTAATAAGAATTCCTCCCGATTTTGTCTGTTTGGATTCCTGAGCCCTGTGAGTGCATATTGGCTGTGGTTGGCAAACCTTATTCACACTCAGTAGGGCAGAGTCTTTCTCTGATTTATGAAGCCATGGTCGTGACATCAGAGTAGCTGTCATCCTCCACTGCTTACATGGCCCTTTGTGTCCATAACAGGGAGAGTCGATCACTTTCATGCAGCAGGGAGAAGAGCTCAGAGTCTTGGAATGATCTGGACAGAAACGTTAAACACTCGTCTCATATAAATCCAGCTCACATCCATCTGGGCTCATTAAGTCATTGAATTGCTCAGAAGCACCAAATCACTTCTCTCCAACAAATTACATTTTTAAAGTCGCTTGTTTGTTCCACATCTGGCTGTTGAGGCAAAAGCCAAAACTGGCGTTCAGAGTCTGAGAAATCGTCTTGCCCTTTGCCTTTCTCTCCTTGGGGAAGAGAGAGAAGGATCAGGTGTTCAGAGGGGAAGCGGAGGATGGCAGGAAGCCACAGGTAGGACAGCCCCGTCCTGGTGGACACATGCAGCCTCTGTGCTGGTGGGGTGGGGACCCGAAGGTCTGTGCGCCTGCTGTCTGATTTCACAGGATGCTGGCTGCACCCCAGGGGCCATCTGTCTTCCTAGACACTGGTCTGGGAGGAGATGGGAGGCGCTCTACTTCCTTTCCTCCTCCACTCTCCAGAGAACCAGCGTCTGGCTTGCCCTCAGACAGCAGTGGGAACGGGTCCAGTCCAGCTGCACCTGCAGCCATCCCAAAGCACAGAGAGTTGGCCAGTCTGACTCAGCACGGGGACCTGGAGCCTGGCTAGCCCTGCTGCCTCTGAATAGCAGCACTCACCCCCAGCCAGCCTGGCCTCCTGCTTTTGCCTGCCTGAAGCAAGTTGGAGGCAGGTGCTGTAGGCTGTGAGCTCTCTGGGGCTGGGCCTAGGGCTTTTGGTCTGTGCCCCGTCTTCGAGCCCAGTAACACCACCAGCTTCCCCCGAACCATGGCTTCTCAGGCCCAGCCAGACCCGTGCACTGTGAGCAGGCTGGTGTGGGAAGGGTGGAATCCTCCTTCCAACTTGTGTGCTCTCCATGCCCTGATCCTAAGGCACCTGCATGCGAATATTTTCTTCCATAATTGTTTAAAATCCACATTCTTTAGCCCCATTTTATCAAGTAGATCCAGTGGAGGCCTGGGAATCTGCCTCAAGGGCTCCTGAAATCCATGAGCCACAATTGCTCGCTTAGGGGCTTTTTTTTTTTTTTTGCTTTGTAAGGTCCCAACTTTTCTAAGACCAGGACCTACCAGGCCTAGAGACTCCAGATGCTGAGCACCTCAAGGACCCCTCGAGGTGGCCATCGATGTGGATGAGGCAGGTCCCCTTCGGGTCCCACTGTGTGGCTGTGGGTGATGGGGCAGGGCGGAAGGGGCAGGCCCCAGGGAGCAGGCCTTCCCAGCTGGCTGGCCAGGAAGATGAAGGGAAAAGGACTGCCTATTTCTCCCACACCACCCCCTAGCCAGTAGACTAGGACCTTGGTCCCAGCCTGGCCAGGATGGGAGGGGACAGCATGTCCTCAACGGTGCAGAGACGGCACAGCCATTGACTAGGCAGTTACTCGCAGTGCTCCTATTCCAGGTACAGGATGCAGCAGGGAGCAGGTGCCACCACGGGGCTTGCTGCCCAGGGGCCAGACAGACAGAAAATAAACAAGCAAACAGGTAACCAGGCCTGTCGAAGGTAGTGAGCAGGGCAAGACGGTCTTGGCCATGATAGGGAGAGCACTGGAGGCAAAGGGAACTCCGAATGCAGGAGCCTGAGGTCGGTGCACCTGCTGCACCCAGGGCCAGCAGAGCTGAGCTCGGAGGATGCTGAGCTGCACACAGGCACCGAGGATGTCCAGACACAGAGCCCTTTCTCAGTTTGTGCTTCTATCTGCGAGAGATGGAAAGTGGGAACACTCTAGCAGAGGAGGGCCAGAATCTGCCAGTGCTGTCTTTCCTGTGTCTGGTATAAGGGAAGGCCAGTATGGATGACCATAAGGCCAGGGGGGCCTACAGGAAGGCCACCTAGCACGTCCTTGGTATGTGTCCCTCAGGCAGCCCCAGCCCTTGGAGATGGATGCCCTGTTAGGGGGACATGGGTACTCAGCACCTTCTCCCTGCCGGGCCTAGGCGCTGCTGACTGGCTCAGTGTCACCTCAGTAAAATGACAGCTATAATAACCTTCAGGTTCTTAGAGCTGAGAGGGAACAGCTGTACCCTGGCTGCCATAAAAACCCATTCCTTTAGGATTTGGACTTGGACCAGAGGTCCCAGCACCCCAGTCTGCTCTGGATGCAGTGTTCTTCCAGCTCTGGCTGCACAACTGTTACCTGCCCTAAGTGTAGAGGGTGCAGAGGCCCAGCCAGACACTGGGCACACGTGCCCCAGACACTGGGCACATGTGCCCCTGCAAAGCTTCCTCAGTCACTAGAGGTCCACCTTGCCACAAGGGACAACAGGGGTTTCCCTGGCATTTGTATTCCCTTGGCAATACTTTAGAAGCAGGCTGGTCCCCAGGGGAGCATGGCAGCCCCTCAGCCTTGCTCCTCTTCCTTGGACAGACTTTAAGCAGCAATGTGATATACTTCTGCCTTAGGGAAAGGAATTCACCATGAACTGAATTCTGATTCACATCTAAGTGAGTGAGCATTTCAAAGGAAAATGAGGGGTTAAGGAGGAGTAGGGGCTCCAGAGTGTCAAAGGAGTGGAAATTGACAGAACGAGAAAGTGGGTGTTAGATCCGTGTGGAACCAACTGGGTTGGTAACTGGAGTAAGGTTGGACTCTCAGCCTCCCAGAGATTGAGGCCTTATCCTCAAGCATTGTTGGAACAAACATGTGAATTCTTCTGGCACCTTGAGACTTCTTAGGTAGGTACTTTAGGAAGAGTTGGGTCCACACTAGTGATTCAGCCTTGAGCTGTTAGAAACGGTCAGTGTTTGTCCAAGACTTTATAGACCAGGGTGAAACCTCACAGAGAAGAGGCCTCCAAGGAGCCTGGCTGGGGTTTGGTGAAGGAGAGAGTCTGTCGGGGCTGTAGCTAAGGGCTTGTCGGTTTTGCCTGGTGCAGACCCTGGGACTCTGGGTCCTTGGCAAGGTACTGGCCAGAGGGTCAGACCCTGGTCTCACATCTGGGGAGCATCTGCCTCAGCCCAGAGGCTGCAGGGCTGCATCTGGTCACAGCTCGGGCCTACGGCAAGCCGTCCATCTGCGTGCACCCAGAGGCACAGAGGGAAGGCTTCTGTTCCTGGTTCTGTTTCATCTTACGTTGGTCTGAAAACAGAGACTCTGAGAGGCCTGGGAGGCTGCAGAGAGGGAGCAGCCCAGTCCTTGTAGAAATAAGGTGTGGGGAAACGGAGTTCTGGGTGATGTTGGTGACGTGGCCTCAGCGAGCTGAAGCGCTAAGGCAACACGATTTTATGATTCTGAAGCACATTTAGAAAAATGACCGTGGGAACAAGACCGTGTTCCAGTCACATTTTACACCTCATATGAGCCACAACCACCTGAGACCTAGTGGCACAGGTGAGGGGCCCTGCTTTTTAGACGAAGAAACTGACACTTGAATAAGTTGGGGACATGAGCCTGAGTCACAGAGTCAGAACAGGGCTGAGGACAAAGCCAAGGCTCTGCCCTTCCTCGGTCCCACCAGCTCTCCCAGGAAGGCACAGTGGCTCTGCTCCGCCAGGGCAGAGGGAGAGTGTGAAGTGACCGGGTGCTGCTGGGACAAACAAGAAGGGACATTCCAGCTGGTCTTAGATCTGTGTCCAAGAAGACACAAAGGGAAATTTCTTTAAAAAAAAAAAAAATTAAGTGGGAAAGAATTTTGGAAAAAAAAAAAAGATAAATAGAAATTTGTAAAGTGGGAAAAGTTGTCCCAAACTGCAAGATTTACCCCCAGGGGAGGAAGAAGAAAGTCGTGGGCTGGTCTGGCTGGCAGGCAGGGTTGGGGGTACTGAGGCAGCAAGCCTGTCTCCCAGCTCACCTGCTGCGCCATCTGTCCCCAGGTACCGCGTGGTGGTCTCCTACCCGCCGCAGAGCGAGGCGGAGATAGAGCTGAAGGAAGGTGACATTGTCTTCGTCCACAAGAAGCGCGAGGACGGCTGGTACAAGGGGACCCTGCAGCGCAACGGCCGCACCGGCCTCTTCCCGGGCAGCTTCGTGGAGAGCTTCTGAGGACCGCGGCTCCAGCTCCGCTGACCCTCCGCTGACCAGGGGGCGGCGCCCCGGGAAGCTCCGCCCAGGAGCAGAGGGAGCCGCAGCCGCCCAGGGTCCCAGGTCCTCTCCCAGGCACCGGGCAGGGACACCTGGATCGGGGTGGGGTCTGGAGGTGTGGAGGCCAGGCCTTCACCCAGAAGCCCAACGCAGTGCGCCCTCCGGGATGCTCAAGGGAGAGCTGCGCCCTGGGAGTAGACTGTAAGGGAAGAGACCACGTGGGCAGGTCCACGCCTCGCCCTCCAAGGGGGCCACAGCGCTACTGGCCACCTATGCAAGTTTGGAGCTGCCAGAGGCCACGGGGCTGGGCAGGTGGGCTGGGGCCAGAAGCGCTGGGGAGTGTCTCTCCGGGCTGCCCTGGGCATCGCCCCTCTCTATACCTCAGTCACCTGCCGTGGAGCCCCTCATGGGCACCAGGGATGGGGGGGGGCTCCCCTGAGACCCTGGGAACCCCTGCAGCCTGCCGCACAGCTCCTGATGGGCACTGGAACAGAATCCCTGTGGCTTTGTCTCCTGCCAGGATTGTCAGCGACACCTTTTGTTTCCCAGCCGCTGTCCCTCTGCGTTGCTTCTTTGTTACATCTTTTTAACGCACAGCCGTTAGACTTTCTATATTTCTAATAGGTCAGACATTGCCTATTTTTCATACATCTGGTGCTGCCTTTTTGTAAAACTAGTAATGACTTGGGTGAGCTTGAAAGGAAAAAGTGTCTGAGGCGACATCAAAGGGCAGGGCTTTTATATTTACCATATGAATATTGGAGCCCACTGAGAATCCCCTGTCCTCAACATCAGAGCGCTGGCCAGTGCTCCCTGGGATGAGAGCCGGCCGCCGAGGTGGTTGGAGGGAGTTGGAAACAGCCAATTTCTTTAAATCCTTACCAAAACCCCAGGCTCTGTCTAGACAGCGATGATTATGATTCAAGGACTGGAAATGTGTCTAGGAGGGTTACTCTAATTGCCCTTTCGTGTGGCGGCAAAAGAACATGCGGGTTGACCCCTGCCTAGGGAGGCAGAGGCTTTTTAAAAATTTCCTTATGAGAGAATGACTGCAATTAGCATTCTCAAAACATGATCTTTTTTTGTTATCAAAATTTGCAGCTCAGATCACCACCTTGCAAAGGTTCAAAGGCTCTCTCTCTCTCTCTCTCTCTCTCTCTCTCTCTCTCTCTCTCTCTCTCTCTCATTTTTGAAAAATAAACAACTCTTCCCATATCGGGCCTTGCAGAGCTTCCGCTGCTAGAGAGCAGAGCTAAAGTGAGAACAGGGCTGTGGTGCGTGCTGCATACTTGCAGGGCCCAGGAATACCGGGAAGAGAGAGAAGGAGCAAGAGTGGCTTTTCCCTGGGACCTCCCCCAAGTGACATCAACGGATATGTCTTCCTTAGTGTAACAGCCCCTGCCCAAGAAAAGTGACCTGAGGAGCCCTGTCACAGACAGTTTTGTCCTTGAGACTTACCTCAGGAATATATTTTTATCATCTCAAAGTCGTAATGCGGAACCCTGCTCTCTCCAAACACCACTCAGCCTGACGTCAGGCTGAATAATTAGCCTGTGGTAGTGGACGTTGTCAGTGGTTTTCAGGGATGCAGCACATTCCAGAAATGCATTCGCTTGCCTGGCATAAAGACTTTGAAATGAAGACCACTTATTTTCAGAGTTCCTATTTGGGGACATGACTTGGCTGTGTATAACTGCCAGGTGGCTTCCGCACTGGGGGAACCACATCTAGAAAATGGCTCTTTCTCTCCCTCCGGATGATAATAGAATTAATGGACGTGAGAAATTTGTTCTGACTCAAAGACAAAATCTAGTTTACACACTGGGTTAGTGACAACCAGAAGGGATCTAGTCATCATCATTGCCAAATTAGTTGCCCACCGTGCACAAAAAAAAAATCTTGTGCATGTTTAAATTCATGCTGTCACCAAAGAGATTAACACCCTGGGTGAGAAACATTCTCCAGCAGAACCAGAACTAACTTGAGTCTCCAGGTAAAAAATAGTCTTTTTTTTTTCCTTTTTTGTTAAAGAGGGCAGCTACCAAGCAACAGTTACTAACTGGGGCTTACTTTCCTCTCCCAGTCTCTGCCCACACGGTGCTCATGGTGGGAATGTGCTCCCCTACTTAGCGATTGTGAGTGGGGATTCAGCCCACCCCGCCGAGCACCCCCACCTCATGTAGAGAGCTGGGGCAGGTATTTAGGTGTCTTTGGAGGACATTGGCCCCTTTCATGGCAGGGTCAGGGATGAGGATTGGACCCACCTTGGGAAGGAGAACGATGCTGTGGGCCCACCAACCCCAGGGTTTGCTGTCAGGTGGGCGGAGCTCCTGGAGGGGGCACTGGGCTGCCAGAGAGTGGGAGAGATACACAACCGGCCCCATGTGTTGTCTGAGTGTCTTCAACATATCCAGGTCCTTCGGCCTTCTTAACCATGCAGGAGCAGAAGTAGCCCTTCCCTGCAGGCCTTCTTGCCCCCCAGGACAGATGTTTCCGTGATGAAGATGAAACCAGCACTTTGTCCTGAACCCCCGTACCCCATCCTGGCCCCACGATGTCCACTCCTAATTGTGCAGTGGCATTTGGCAGCCTAGGTGACTCTGGTTGAGGAGCACATTAGGGTCCACAGCTTTGACTGAGCAAGGTCAGCAGACTCCTAGGAGATAGGACAGCCTGGCCCCCCAGAGTGTCAAGGGCATGAGGGAGAGAGACAGGATGGTAGGCAGCGGGGCCTGAATGCCAGGCTGAACACCCTGAGACCAGCTCAGCCAACCAACTGGGAAACCCTTTGTACTTTGCACAGTTCACACGCGCACACACACACACACACACACACACACACGCATAGTGTTTCTGTTATACACAATGTCAGCGTGTGATTTTGGAAGAATTGACAGTAGTGACAAACTATGATGCCTGTGTTTCTGAGTCTTTAAATAAAAATGAACATGGAGAGGCCTGTGTCTGGATGATGGGGACAGCGGGCTGGGGTACAGGCTGCAAGGCCTCAGCTGCAAGGCCCAGCCCTGGGCGGGAGCGGAGCTGGGATGGTACTGTTTGCATGCCCACGGCCCATTCCCAGGGCTTGCATACCTGGCACCTCATGTTCCTACCAGGAAGACACCTGGTCATGTGTATCGGGTGCTGGGCCATCCAGGAGACTGGGTAGTCATGGCCAGCAGTGTCATTGAACATGAAGCATACCCAGCACACATTGGACACTCAGAAGTATGCCACAGAAGCCAGGCTGGCCAAGAGGTAGGGACCTCTAGTTCTGCTCCAGGGGTTCATTTGCCTGGAAGAGAAAGAGGACATTCTATGGAGGATTCAGCCTCTCTCCTTTCTTTAGTTATTTAAGTCCTTGTCAACCAGAATTGCCTGGCATAGACTCCAGTGAGCACACTGCTGGCCCTGATTTTGTATCTCTGACTCTTGGGGTGCCCATACCATGTTCTCTGAAGAGCAGGATAGGGGTACTGCCGCAGTCTGGCTGGGCACAATTCAGGAGCCACCTGTCAAGCAGAAACGAACTTTATTTTTAGAACACACGCAGCACCACACAGCTCTTCAGGAATTCCCTCAGAGCCCAACTGCCACCACCGGCTTCCAGAGCCTCTCAACCCCCCTCCCCACTCCTCCCGCTCTTGAGGCCGATTGGCTGGGTCGTGTGGGCGGAGCCAAAAGAGTCCCCCAATGAGCAGCTCCATGATCTGAAAGGGCCGGGAAACAGCCCAATGAGCATCACCACAGAGGAGCCAATCAGCTGGCAGCTGGAAGTTTGCTGGGGCTACTGTGAGCCAATCAGCTGGAAGTTTGCTGGGGCCGCTTTGGTTGTGGCTCTCAACAGGGTACATTGAATCCCCCTGCCACAGGAAGGGACTCCAGAAAGGGGGACTCTGTCCCAAGTTGATCTGACTGACAGCCAGCAGGACTGGCCTACCAGTCAGAAGCATGCCAAGGAGACTGTGTGTTTCTTGAAACAGGTTCTCATTGCTCTCTTAGCTGAGATGTGTACCCACATATATAGACACTTGAACTAGAAAGAGGCTTAGTACAGAGCCAATTTCCCTTTCTGTAAAACTTAAGTGAACTTGTATAGAGTTTTTAACGGCATGGATAGGAGCTAGAGGGATGAGCAGTAAGGCAGCACCCTGTGCCTGTGTGGAAGAAACTCTTAGCTTGGTTTGCTACACGAGAAATCAAGGTAAGAAGAGATTAACTGAACTGGCCCAGGTCACAGAGCTAGCGGAACTGCTGTGTCTCAAGCTCCAGTCTGTTTCTCCAATGCCAAGTTGACCCATCCACCTCCAAATCAGGGTGCCAACCCAGAGTCCTCTGTAGAACTGTAGCCATAATGTAGGACTGCACCACATAATGACATGTGACCACATGTGACAGTGGTCCCATAGATCATAATGGAGCTGAAAAATCCCTGTCACCTACTGTTGTCTTAGCCTTCATAGAAGCTTAGGAAACACAACTCACGTTTGTGAAGATGCCAGTAAAACACCTACTGTGCTGCCAATCATATAGAAGTAGAGTACATAAAACTATGCCTCCGGCTGGGATATAGCTCAGTTGGTAGAGTGCTTGCCTTGCATGCACAAGGCCCTGGGTTCAATCCCCAGCAACACACACACACACACACACACACACACACACACACACACAGTATGCATAGAACATCATATTTGATAATGACAAAACACAAGTTTTACTGGTTTGTGTATTTATTGTGCTATCTGTTGTCAGAGCATACTTCTACTTATTAAAAAAACCACTTGGAGACTGTACACTGTATGAAGCTGGCAGCAGCTCACACATCTCACATTTTCCTTATTTCTTTTTGGCATCAAGAGGCCATGTCCAGTGATTGACTGCACCATCTAGGTCTGCGTGACTCTGCTGTTTGCACAATAATGAAATTGCCTCACAACATGTTTCTTGGAACATATTTAAACATTAAGTGACGCATGACTGTAACATCAAGTACGTGAACGTGGGAAGAGGTGAACATAGGCAGTGTCCATCACAATTCATCTGGAAAGCGTGTATGGCAGCCACTGAGGTCCCTCTGCCAGGCAGAGAGGCGGCAGCAACCCCTTAGGGCCTGGGGCCATTTTACATTCAAATCACATACCCTGCTCATGCGAATCCATGCACACTGAGCAGACAGGACCAATTTGCTTTTTCTAATTTAACAACTAGAGGAAAGTGTTAGGCAAGTTTACAGATTCCGCCTGAGGAGCAGAGACGTTTCTCCTCATCCACGGTGGACCGGGCCTCCAGAAGAGAGAGGTTCAGCCTCTGTGACTCTTGTGAGCAAGGGCGAGCATGCCTGCCTCCGACTGACACTGTCAGGGCGTGTGCCAAACACGGGGGCACTGGGTCCTCTTCCCAGTGGGGAGGCTCCATGGCCCAGCCCCTCACGTGACCTTCCCACTGTGTGCTTCAGGGTGAGAACAGGCATTGAGGGTCCCCACTGAGTCTCCAGCCGAGCCGGGAAGACAACGCTGCTTGGCCTTGTTCCGGATGGATGCATCTCAGAGATGCCCAGAGTCTCCTGAGGACTCTCAGGAGACGGAGCCAAGCTTCCTGGCTGAGGACTCCTCAGTGTTCCTCCCAGAGCACTGTGGGAAGAGTAGAGGCTTTTCAAATAGAGGGAAAAGAGGCTGCAGATGTCCCTGACTTACCGTGATTCAGCTCACAGTTTGCCAGCTTATGATGATGGGAAGGAATATATATTGAGTAGAAAATATTCTTTGTTTTGAGTTTGATTTTTTCCCCCAGGCTATCGATACACGGTTCACTCCCCTCACTCAATGCTGGGCAGCCGCAATGTCACTCCTCTGTCACCAGGAAAAACAATGACACCCTACAGCGGGCTGTGCTGGGGGCTAAGATGTGGAGGAGGGTGGGTGCACTGAGGCCTCTTCCACGTATGATATTTTCAATTTACAATGGGGATACTGGGACAGGAGTCCAAGGAGCTCCTGTATTCCAAATCCTGTTTACTTAGTATCTTCAAGTATATAATGTAATTCTTATAACAGCCCCTCCAAGCTGGTTCTCATCATTTCCATTTAACAGATGAAGAAATTGCAACTTTGTAAGTTTTATTATTAGCTCTGAGTTAACTGGATGGCAGAGCCAGGACTCCTGACTTCCAATCTCTGGACTCTTCTTGAACACAGCAGAAATACTAAAGTGCTGTTTGTAACCAGTAAGACCCTGTTGTCGTGTTAACCACCCAATGAGGTGGGCACTGTTGTTTCTATAGATAGAGAAACTGAAGCAGCCCAGGATGCAATGCCTGGTCCGTAGAGCTGGGGCCCGATTCCAGTGTTTGGCCACTACACACACAACAGTGGCAGCAGGCTAGGAATACCAGGAAGGAGCCTGTGCCCAGTCTCATGGGCAATTAGCCAAGGAACAGCCCACTCTGAGCTACTTTAGAAAAGGAAGGAAGGTGGAAAGGCTTTCCTCCCACTGAGACCCGTCACGGTAGAACACTGCGTCCTTCGTGAAACCTGCGCTGCTCAGAGACAGCAGCTGAGGCTCAAGAGCTCCTCCCCGAGCTGGTTCTGATGCTGGCCTCAGACCCCGGCATCATCTCTGTGGATCTTGCCGGGATCTCACAGATTGGAACTCGGTTGAGTCCTCTTCTCATTGCTATGTCATGTTACTCTTCCAGATGGCTCCTTTAACTTCTCAAAGAAGAGCACATTCAGCTGACCACAGAGGACATGTCAGGGTCCAGGGGGAGGCCGAGGCCCCGATGCAGCTCTGGAGGTTGTCCCCAGTGTCAGAGGCTGGCTGCACTATGCTGACACTTGTCTTCTCTGTGCTGTTCTCTGGGACTCGCCATGGGCAACTGTTGGTCCATCCATGTGCATGAGTGAAGTGTTGGCCACACCACCGCCATCTGTTGACGCTTCCCTCCATCAGTCTTGTACTTTGAGAGGCCACACCAAGACCACCTGGGTTGAACCCCAGGCACCCACGAGAGCGATGGCAGGGTGTTGTTGGTCAGGGGCCCTTTGTTTGGAAATGCTAGAAAACCAAGTGAATAGGTAAAACTTGACTCAGATAACTGTAAAGCCGTGGTCAGTCAGCAGGACACGTGGAAACAATGAGCGGGGGATTTTGGTATTCCACTGACTGCTGGTCAGAACTGAGGTTGTTGACCATCTTGTGATGAGTAGAATATGTCTACACAGAGAAGAAGATCCTGCCCCAAATGCCAAGAGTAAGTCCATTAAGAAACACTGGTTTAGATGGATTTGAGGTGGCCACTGACGGATCCAGGCATTCATACGATGTTCTTGAGTGCCACTTGGCTGGCTTTTCAGGGGGTTTGCCTCCATATGACAGCAATATAGTTACTAACAGGTTTGGAAAGACATCATAATACCTGCAGAAATAGAACTGCTCTCTTCCGATGCAGATTTTGGCATTGACTCTTGCTAAGTGAGTCTGGACCCAGGCTGGCCTCCCTGACTCAGCCCTTGTGAACAGCGTCAGCCTCACCCAAACCACAGGGATGGAGAGTGTTAGCAAAAATGGGAGGAAATTTCAACAAGTCACGCAAAAACAGCTGGCCCGACTCCTGTGTTCCCCAGGACACAGCCCCAGAAAGGCTACAGCCATTCATCAGCAGGTAGGCCATCAGAGGGTCACGATGCCAGAGACAGGAAAACGAGACGTAGAAACTGGATTTTAAAGAGTCCCAGAGCAGGGCTGGAGCTGCACCTCAATGGTCGAGCCCTTGCCGAGCATGAGTGAGGCGCTAGATTCGATCCTCAACACCACATAAAAAGTCAATCAATAAAATTATAAAAAAAAATATTTTAAGAAAAAGTCCCAGAGGAACAGAGTTGGGCATAACCATGAATGTGGAGAAAGAAGTGTCCGTGTGGAATAAGTCATATTCTTTCATGTCCTAAGAGATGG